ACTCTCTCTCTCTCTCTCTCTCTATATATATATATATATATATATATAATTTATAATTTAGAATAGAAACTAAAGAAACTATAGAAGCTTTATAGAAACTAAAAAAATTTATATATCAGTTAGAACACAAGGTGTGAAAACAAAACAAAAAGGTGCTACTTTTTGTTAAACAACAACAAAAAAATGTAAGATAATAGTCTAACTTAAACGTGCGTTATTTAATAGTTTTGATGGCTTTACCTTTATTCTAAAATAATACATGAAGAAAATTCAATCCAAAACAAAAGTAAATGTGTCCTAACATTTGACTGTTATGGTTTTCATAAAAATATTATGCAAACTGAGTGAATATATGTAAATGTTACTCAAATAAGAAGGGGTGTTCACTTTTATTTGTTACCCACTAAATAATGTACCCAAATAATACTTTTTTTCACTAAAAATTTAGGATTTTATAAAAATTATTGTGCACTCATGATTAACTTAGAGTAACTTTTGCTACTGAATTATCCATTAACCTAGTTTATAATAGTATTTTTGTCATAGATTTTGATTATATTTTTTTGTTTGTTATTATTTCTTTATAATGAAGCTGTCTATATTTAGTAGATTGTGTGTAACATACAAAAGAGTGATGATTGACCTACACATTGAGGTATAGAAATTCTACACTCATTTAAAAAAAACTGCGCTGGTATCGGATCGATATCGGTATCTGCAGATACTCAGAATTTTTGGTATCGGATCGGTATCGGTTCTGAAAAAGTGGTATCGAGTCATCACTACAAATAAGCATTTTTACAAAGTTGTGTACATACCATTCACTGTAATCTACATTTTGTGAAAATTTGGGCTTCTGTACAAAACTAGTGACCAACAACAGTATAAATACTAAATCTTTACCTGTCAATAAATACAGTCACGGAACAAAAAAAAAACATGTTAACCACCAATGTTAAGCATTGTATACACACAACATGTCTGCCAGGTTGAATGCAATGAGCAGGTAACACAATGACAAGGTAAGACTGCCGCGAACAGCTGACGTCTGCATGTCTCACTCATGTTTGCAGAGAAAGAGCGCTGGCAGAGAGCAGACAGAAGTGGTGGAGGGTAGCTTTGACCCCACTGCACTCTTCATCTTCCCAGAGCGAGCAGCTGGGCCTCCGTTCCCGTTCTCCCGCCCGCACTGGCTACTGTACAGATGACATTTATGTAAGTGCCGCACCAGAGGGGCCCACGTGACCAGGAGGAAACATATCTCAACATCTGGTTTCAACATAATACTCGAGGCCTGGCCAAAAGAGAGTTCCCCTGCCCACTTTGAGCAGTACTCTCATACTCCATCTTTCTCTGCAGATGCAATCTGCCCGCATTCGTATGTAAAGACAGCAGCGCATAAAAGTACATTTATATTGTTAGCGAATGGATAAAAAGCTCGCAATAAAAGTAAATCTCCAGGAACCGGGCCAAGTTTGAGCATGTGCAAGTCGTTGTTAAATCCAGAGGGGTCTGAAGACGGAAACGCAATCTGTTGGAATACTGCGGCACGGAAAGAGACGGTGAGGTCAAAACGTGACATGACGGAAGCTTAACAGCTGAACGAGCAAAACCGATGCAGGCAAAATGCACCTCATGGATGACTGACAAGGGAAATTATAGTCACTCTCAAGCTATGAATCAAATATTTGGTCATTGTGAGATTATCAGCATCAGCTGATATCATGCACAATTTCGGATCTGGAATAATTTTAGTCATTTGAGTAAATATTGATACATACATCCCAATTGCTACAATTACATTGATTACAGTGTCATAAGATAATACAGAGTCAGAAATTAACTTAAGAGGAAATATTTGCCCCTTGAACTGATTTTAAGGGGCATTTTAACCTCTATCAGCACATAGTTTCAATCAAAAGCCACTTCATATTAGTTTTATATTTAACACTTGACTCAAATATAGATATCTGGCAACTAAAGGTCAATAATTTAAACAGAATATATGAAATATCAACAAATTTAAATAATAAATTATTAAAATAAATTTAACAGAAAGTACAATAAATTGCAAACATAATAAAATTCAATTCAATTCAATTCAATAAAAAGTTCTGGTTAATTTCTCATCATGATTAGCATTATAGATGAAGTATTTATAGCAATAATATCAATATCAGTCATTAGAAAAAAAAGAAAAAGCTAAAAAGAAAATCAAATTAATTAAAATTCAAATAAAAATTAATTAGTTAATTACTAAATCGGTCAACGACTGGAAAGTTACCTACAACACAGAGAAACAGACCTTTATATTTTGTGCAATAATGTTTAGGACTTTTTACCCT